GACGAAAAAATGGTGTTGGGAGGTCTCAGCTGCCTTAGGGACCTGACCAACTCAAGGGGGAGACAACTACAAAAATAAATTCTAATACGGAGTGTTTTGTGCTGAGATAGATTCTATATCCACAGGGAAGGGGGACTCAGATTAGGGAATGGCTCCTAATCCTGCCTAGAATAGAGGTAAAGAAACCTTTCTGGAAGAGGTGCGAACTGGAGGACGAGTCTGGAAAGAAGGAGGCTGTTTCAGGCAGAGAACAGCATGTGCAAAGACTCAGAGTAAGCAATCATTAGCTCCAGTAATGCCAGCCTCTGTATCCTTTCTGCAATGCTGAGACCTCAGGATGAACCAAAGCTCATAGAGCACAGGTAGGTTATAAGGCCTGAAATACCAGGATTTATGCACAGCCCTCTTGGTATGTTTCACAGTTAAGTTTTAAAAACAAAAAATAGGGCGCCTGGGTGGCTCAGTTGGTTAAGCGACTGCCTTTGGCTCAGGTCATGATCCTGGAGTCCCAGGATCAAGTCCTACATCAGGCTCCCTGCTCAGCAGGGAGTCTGCTTCTCCCTCTAACCCTCCCCCCTCTCGTGTGCTCTCTCTCTCTTTCTCTCTCTCAAATAAAATCTTTAAAAAAAAAAATAAAAAACAACCAAATGCAATGCGTGTTTCTGGAATGGATACCAGACCAGAAAATATATGTTTATTTATCTTCCTCGATAAAGACATTTTGCAGCAACTGGCAAAATCTAAATAAGGTCTATAGATTAGATAAGGAAGTAAATGAATGTTCATTTCCTGATTATTATGATATACTGTAGTCACGTTAAGAAAATGTTCTGGTTTTTAGGAAATACACACTGAAAGATTTAAGGGTAAAGAGACATCATCTCTGTAACTTACTCTCGAATGATTGAGAAAAAAACAGTGTAGAGAGAGGATGACAAAACACACATTGCAAAATGTTAGCATTTGAGGAATCTGGGTGGTAGGTATTTAGGAATTCTTTGTACTATTCTTGCAACTTTTCTGTATATCTGAAATTTTACATGAAAATTTTAAGAAATCAATAAAGCTTAACAGAAGGCAGAAAGGAGGGAAGAAAGGGATAGAGGTGGTAGGCTGCAAGTAGGTACTTAGGGAAAGAAACAAGGAAGGTAGGCAAATTGTACTCCAGGCCGCAAAGGGCAGCAGATAATTTCAAGCTGCAGCAGAACAAACAAAACACACACACACACACACACACACACACACACACACCAAAAATAAACAGATGCAGGTGGGACCAAGAAGAGATAGCAGACTACTTTGGCTTCACAGAACAGATTCCAACTCAAAACTCCTTTGCCTCTGGCTATGTGGCCTTGGGTTAGTTATGGGACCTCTCTGAGTCTTAGTTCCCTTCCGGGTAATCATGGTAATCAGGGCCTCACTTCGGGGTTGCTAGGAAGCTTCTCCAACAGTAATAACAAAGCAGCTGCCATTTACCCAATGTTTGCTACCCACAAGCACTCTCCCACATGCTTCACATGCCTGGAATCATTTGAGCCACAAACCAGCCTTAGAAGGTTGATTATTATTCTGTTTCACGCTTGGGCAAACTGAGGCACCTAGAGGATATGGAGCACCCCCAAGGTCACAAGTTAGGAGTGGGTGAAGACAGGGCAGACACCCAGTTGCACTGCAGTCATCAAGAACCAGGTGCAGGCCTTGAACACAGTATCACTCAAGAAGTTGGCTGGAAAACCAGAGGGACTGAGGGCGGGTAAGAGAAGAGACCTTGTCCTCCCCCTCCCCCCAACCAAACGGCTGTGGACCAGTCCCTGCAAGATCCCTTCCGCAGGCCTCTGGGGTGGCAGATGCCAAAGCCACCCCCATCCACTCTCCCTAACAAGGACCAAGGGGACCCCAACATGATGTGGGGGCTGGTGATGAACACACCAGATACTATTGTTGCTACAGTTGGCATCATCAGCCCAGCTACTGGGAAACCCCTGGGAGATTACGGCCCTGCCCTTCCTTTTTGTTTTTTTTTCTATTAAACATGAATAAATATTGTATGTCAACATCACTACCAGCCCCCAGGCATTAACACTGTATTGACTAATGGCTTTTGGTATCACGATGCCATCCAGGACATGTGAGGGCTTCTACATGCACACATCATGCCCTTGAACCCTCCTAGCAGCCCTAGGAAGTAGGCAGGATTTATGGTCCTTACCTGTTAAGAGATGCAAATCTCCCTGGCTAAAGCCCCAGGCTACTTGGAAGATTGCTTCAGAAAAGGCCTACAAGGTCTAACCTCAGCCCCAAGATCAGAATGTTCACATACTCCCCTTGCCATTTGTGCCTGGGATTGTGGAGAGCCAAACATAACCCCCATCTTTAGCTTAAACAGATAGTAGCCCCCGACAGCCCCTCCAAAGCCAGCCCTCAGCCTGCCCCACAGACAGACTGAGCCAACCAAGAGCCCCTCACCTGGTGGGATAGTCCACCTCCTCTCTTGGGGTTTTGAGACCCGGTCTGTTTATTTTGCTTCATCCTGTCCTGGTATTCGGTGCAGCACTGGATACAAGATGGCTTAATAGGGAAGCTGAGGCCCCCTGGGACCGCAGCACCTCAGAGGAGTGCCAGCCCACTTGTTAATTGCCAACGGTCTCACCATGGCAATGCTTCTCATCCTCCACTCCAACATTTACCTTAATAAGGCATACAACTCTAGTCATGGAGGTGGCCAGGATTAGAGCCTTTCTTAACATTTGAAGGAACTGAGGGGCTCATACAGTTGCCACATCCAATTGAACTCCAACTGATCCATTGCATGTGCATCCTTTCTCCACACCATTTTCCCTCCGCATGCACCAGCTGACCAAAATGAACCTCTGGAGAGGCACGGAGATCTTCATTGGCTCCTGGTCCCTGACCAATAGCTAGATCTAGTGATGGGACTATGGCAGGATGGGCTGGGGGATTGGGACACCGGGCTAGCTGGCCCAGGTAAACTGCAGAGCAATGCGTACACGCTCCACCCCAAGAGCTGTGGCCACAGGCAGTTAGGTTGGAATCATGGGGCCATTCCCAACCGGTCCTGTTACTGGACTGAAACAGGACAACTTGGCAGCAGTGCAACCACGAGCAAGGGAATCCAACAAAGGCATGGACAACTGGGAGAAGCAGCCCTGGGATTCTTGAGTCAATCACCTTCAGCTCCCTAAGAGCATGTCAGATGGCTTTTCCAGACCTCAAGCCTTTAAATGAACTCAAAGTCTCTCCAGTCCCTTGTTTTGAGAACCAAGGTTTAGATCTCATTCACTAGCCCAGTGTGGTCCCTGGACCAGCAGCATAGAATTCTTGGGCTCTACTTGAGACAGTGAATCAATCAGAAACTCAAGTTGGGGCCCAGAAATCTCCACTTTAATGAGCCTCACAGGGGAGGCTGGTACCCTGGAGTTTGGGGACCAGTGTTCTAGACCACTCCGTGGGGTCACACTGGTATTCCTGCACTGTGCTTGCTGCATGAACCAATGACCAACTGGAACTCCCACCATTCCGCTTTAACCAGGCCCTCCCAACGTCCCACCCATCTGACCTGCAAAGAAGGAAAGGGACACCAGACTGTTAGAGAAATACTGATTTTAATTCAACATAAGGTAAACTCTAGGCATCTGTCATCTTTCAGCCTAAAAATTAGCAAAACTGTTGAAACAAGGCACAATTTTTCCCCATACTTGTTACGTGGCTCCAGTTACAAAAAACAAAAAATTTATGAAAATGTTAAAACATAAAAATAGAAGTCTGTGATTAAAAAAAAAGTGTATAAAAAATTCCCACAAAACCTGTCAACGTTGTTCCTGATTCTACAAAATAGCACCAGTAAGAAGAGTAAAAGTTGTTAAAACCATTAGGACAGCATTTCTGAAATGCAGCTTTCCCGACCTCCCGTTCCCCCTAAAAACTTCCCGTGGGATACAAAAGGACTTTAAAATCTCTGGAGGGAGGGTCGAGCTTTTTATTGCAGTTTTCCCCCTGCAATCTCTTAGATGAGGGGAAAGGGCGGGGAATGTGCGTCTGCTCCTGCTGTCACTGCTATTCAGTTTAGGAAAAGGCTGAGGATTCGGGGTGTCCTTTCATGTGGGGACCTGTGCCTGCAGAGTAGTCTGGAGGGTGCATTTTGGGGGTGGAGGGGGATGCCTTCCCTAAGCCTCCTCCTTTGCTCCCTTGACATGGGGAAGAGGGAGACCAAGAGAAGCCACACCTGTCTGCATAATATCCAGCAGCGGATAACCCAGCCCACCCCTTCCTGAGCTCCCCGGAGGGTTCTATTGCAGTCACTGGGAGGGCATTTAGCTAAGGGTAGTCGTCCCCTTGGGTTTGTTGGGGGGGGGGGGATAGCCCTGAATGTGATGATGAGGTCATCCCTGCTGAAATCATCATCATTATGGAAAATACTCTACACGGACACCGACAGCAGGTCCCAGCCCTTTACACTGAGGCCAGGGGAACATGCTGGGTAAAATTCAAGAAAGACAGGCATCCTTTCCTCTTCTGCTAGCCCCAGAGGAAAAAAAACACCCAAGGCTCTTAAAATGTCCCTTAGCTACATGTCTACCACTGCATGCTCCTGGAAATGAGGGGCTGCAGGTGTTTAAAAAAAAAAAAAAAAAAAAAACCAAAGTCTTGCAATAACTGTCTTGGGTGATTTTTCAGCTTTAACCTGAGTATTAGAGAGCTGTCGGCACTGTGGTTTTGGTATCTTAGCCATTGTTTCTCTGAGCAGTAAACCCAGGAGGGAAAAAAAAGCCATCTTACTACCTACTTCAAGTTTTGTTTTCAGAGAAGACAAAATGAGCACCGTGTTTGGCCGCTCCTAGCGGCCAGGTCTGAATTGTGCACAAGGAGGTGGCACCTCAGGCTCCCCCTGCCAGGAGTGGGTCACACAGCTCTACCTCCTGCCAAGGTTATGTGGCGTGACCCCACAATGCTGGGCAGAGGAAGAGCAGAACTGGGGCTGTACCTACTGGGTCCTGGCTCTGCCCCACATGCCCCAGTGCTCCTGGGCTCAGGGTGCCTGGGAGGGCTATTCACAGGCAAAGTAGTCCTTCAGGGGGGCGAAGAGGTGTCGGATGACAGGCACACTCCAGGACCTCCCAAGCAGCTTCTGGCGGGCACCACGGCCCATGTTGGACACATCCGTGTAGTGTACAGGAAAGCCGAAGATCCTGGGGAGGGGGGGGGCAGGGGCACCAGAATAAAAAGACAGGGAGTCAGAAGTGCCCCTTCCAGCACGCTTACTGCCTCTGGGAGATCCTCACACGAAGAGCATGGCACTGCTCTTTCTGCCCTTTGTCCCATCCTTTCCATCAGGCCAACCGGACCTTCACATGAGCCCTCATTGAACCCCAGAGGACAGATCAACCGGTTCTACAGAACACAAATAACGGTCCAGAGGGCACGGTTCCTCTAGAAGGAGGCCTGTTGCGTGCATCCCTAAGCACTAGTGCTGTGCTCCAGGCACATAGCTGGTGCTCAGTGGACCTTTCCCATGTTAATGAATGAATGAATGAATGAATGCCAAGAGAGCCAGACAGCAAGCAAACAGACATGTATCTGCCTTCAAATCACAAGAGGAGGAAAGGGAAATTTCCTTAATAAGAATTAAGGACACTTGCAGAAATAGATCCTCAGATGCTCAGATAATTTACCATAAGTACACTGAAGTATCCTGCATTTTCTCTCCCTCTTAAAAAAACCAGTTGTTAGGTCAAGGGCCAAGCTGGACTTAATGGCAGATGGCAACCAAATATACCAAGAGCTTCCTCTATGAGATTCTACCAGGCCTGGGAAGAGGCTACAGATACACTAGACCTCAGTCTTTCCTGGGTTTACAATCTAATACTAAAAAGCACACCAATGGGTGTTAAGCAATGTGCCAAAGATGTAACACCGTAGACCTATATAGTGCCTTTATAAGTGCCTATACCCACTTATATATATCATCTGCATCCATCTAATATCACAGGGCCAGCCCAGCATGTAAGGCTTAGGTCTCAAAATACAAAATAACCCACAAGATGAATGGGCAAGGTTACCAGCCAGTTTCTTTCTATGAATCAGAACTTAATTTTAGGCTAAGAAAACGACTGGTGAAGAAATAAAACCAGCTGTAGGACTGAAATATCTGAAATGAAAATACTCTTATCAAATCCTCTGAGATGCAGCCAAAAATGTAAAGAGGAATATTCATAGCCCTTCCTTCATTTCTAACAACAGTAAGAACAAAATAAACAGGGGGGGGCGGGGAAGAAATCAGAAAAGGAGAATTGAAATCCAAGAGCTGGTTCTTTGAATCCAAACAGTTAAACGATCAGCTTAGCCAAATAAATGGAAGGAGAAGACAGACTTTGGCTAAGTAGGAACCAGCTTTATTGGCAGAGGGAATATGAGAAAGACCAATGGCCAAGTCAGTGGGGTTTTCTTTGGCTGGTTCCTCATATGCCCTGGAGGCCCAGCATGCCGGGGCAGTTAAATGCCAGGGCAGCACAGCAGAAACAGAGATGGTGTGGTCTAATGACCTCATGTTTCAGATTCCTTACCACCACCCTTCTGCCATTTCTACCAGGAAAATCAGCACTAACTCTGAAAAGGTATCACTCCCAGCCCCACTAACATAGGGCAGTGAGACCATGCAGAATTAAGGCAAACACCTGCCCATTTATGCTGCCTGCCTTGACATGTTCTTCCCCTTTCTCTCTGCCTGCATGATTCCCCTCTTCACGTGCAGCCCTGCTCACCTTTCTAGCTCAGTGCACCACAAAACATCTTCTTTGCCATTCATGACAACAGGGAAAAGTTGGTTTTTCCCCTGTCTGATCGAGTTCGACTTGGTGGTTATTGTCTGTACTTTCTTTAACTGGAGAACAAAACGACATCATGGAGTGAGCACAGGATGAAGGGTCTGGGTCAAGTCAAAGCTCATCATCACCTCGGGAAGATGGAGGAGGGAGGGCAGGCATGGGAGAGAGGGAGGCAGGGTTGGGCTCACAGAGGGAATGAGAAAAGGAGAGCTGGAAGGCAAGAACATTTTGTGCTTCCCACAAACACCAAGAAGTTAATGAACAGGAAGGACCAGCCTCACAGAACAACAGATAAAAAAGTGAACATGAATGAGATCACATGGGGGCCAAGAAAACACCAGAGTTCTTGATCAAGCAGGATTAAGCAAAAGTAAAAACCCACCCAGATTTTGAGGATGGCCCACTGGATTTTGAATGAATGGAACCTAGCCTGATGTAAACATTAAGTTTATGGAGATCTCAATATAATTTTACCAGTAGACAATTTTTGTGACAAAACAAAAATTACTCATTTGCTACTGGGAAGATGAGCTGAAATTATCTGTGTCTCTATGGAGTTTGCATTCGCAAACTAGTCACCTTTTCTCATGGTGATTATTTCTGTATCAAGAGCCTCTCCTACTCTGTGCTTTTGTTTTAAGATGGGACAGAACAATTAAGTGGGGAAAGAGGCCCAGCACCAGGGAGTCATGTGGGGAGGAGGGGCAGGAATAAACTGGACACCAAGGTCAAGTCCTCGCTTGGAGGTCACCAAGTGCGTTTCCAGAGACCATTTGTTAGCAAGTCTTACCTTTGCTGTCCTATTGAACTCCAAGCAGTCCTGCAGTTCGAGTTTATCATTCTTTGATGCTATCACGGGCCTGGGAACATCCAAAACCCATTACTTTCTACCAACTATAAAGGGGCCTCGGCTAGGCGCTTCCCAAGGTGGGAATGAGGGCCAAAGACTGCAAAATGTGCTCTGGCAGTGAACTTGTTACAATGAGCGGATTAAAAAAAAAAAAAAAAAAAAAAAAAAAAGAGCCTGGCAAGAACACAAGACTATGTGCCAAAGCCAGGAACAGACTAGCCCCTTGAAGGGGCAGCCCAATGTCCAGGAGCAAATGCTCCCCCTTTCCAAATTTTAGTATTAATCAGAGCCTTCCTGCAGAGACAGCAGGATGAAGGAAAGCAAACTGGAAGGAGTCAGGAGACCCCTCCAGTCCAGCCCCACTGCTCACTGAGTGACCCTGAGCAAGTCAGGCCACCTCTCTGGGCCTCAGGAGCTTAGACCAGGTCTTTGTGGATCTACCTGCTGCAACTAGCACATGAAACCCATGATTTGGTGGCTTACACCAAAGACGACTCGGGACGGTTTCAGGGCTAACAGGAGATACAGGTAAAGAAGGACAGGAGATGGTTGACATACGAACCATTACCCTGTAACTTTCACCACTGAAACCTGCAAATGCAGAGAGGCAGACAGATGCCTGAGAAGGTGGAGGGCTAGAACTTGAGGAGTGGTTAAGCGTTCCAGAGGAGAAAACCAGCAAAAGGTCTGAATGCACAGAGTTGATGAACACCACAGCAACCTCTGTGTAAGGAACTTCAAGGCCAAAAGGAAATCAGATGTAGGAATGAATGATGCCCACAAGAGAGGCCACAGAATCACACAAAACATTCCCCTAGATTCTGTCAGAGATTTCCTTGACCTCACCTTCCGGGCTAAATGCCTGCCTATCCCAAATCTTTACTCTTCCATGAACCCAAGGGAGTTGGGGGACACACATTACAGCCATACCTGGTCCTGACTGTACGACTGATATCTATATAACCAAGGTGTTAGGTTGGACAGCTGGATTTGGGTCTGTGACTACCAGGTGATGGTTGGGTCACCACCCTTGCAGGGCCCAGCTGTAGACACTGTTATTCTTACAACTCAGAGAGAAAGCTCTGGAGGCTCTGCAGACTCTCTCCTTTCATCTGATACCCTACATCTAAGGCATCAGCAAATCCTGTTAGTCCTACCCTCACATTACCTATAATCTGATCCCTCCTGTTAAGTGCCACAGAACTCTTGAGCTGCCAAGCCCCCAGAGCCACACTTGCATTGTGTTGAGTATGTATGGATGGCACCCTCCTCTGAATGCCCACTTCCACGGGTCTCCCGACTGGTGCTGTCATCCTGCTATTGTCTATCCTTCTATGAGCAACTATCATGAATCTGAGATACACCTCTCACCTGCTTGAATGGCTCATGAGTTCCCATGCAATGACTCACAAATGCCACATAATTTGGCCCATATTTCTGAGTCCTTTGCCGTACTGTCCCAGCCACTCTGGCCCCTGGAACCCTGTTGTCTGAGCTGCTCTTCCCATGTGCTGTTCACCATCACCCCGTTCCCTATTCCTTCTGACTGGAATGTTCATTCTTTCCTCAATTAATTACATGGCCCCATTCCTTCATTTAAGGCCCTGGTAGAATGAGAAGCCTCCCCATCAATTCCTCCAATTCCCCCACCTCCAGCCAGGATGGTGAAATTATTTACTGTCTTCTCTACCCATCCCCCATTACATGTCAACTCCATGAGAGCCAAGACTGACATCTAATGTGTTCACCACTAAGCCGGCAGCACGTACAGCAATGCCTGGCACAGTGTGAGAGCTCAAGTGTTGAGTGAAGAGCCCACTTCATCCAGACATGAACATTCTCCATTTCACTGGCTGATTAGCCAAATAAAAATGCAACATATCCAGCAGAAATCCTACAAGCTATTCTAGCAACTTCTCCCCTCTGTTCACACTTTGCTAAATGCCTGAAAGTTATGCTTCCAGCACTTCCTTCTAAAGGAGAATTTTTTTTAAGCTTAACTCATTTGCAAGTCTGGGATGTCACATTACCATCATATTTCGTATCTTAATTAGCAGGTTGTTCCCCTGGAAACCACATGGAGGAGATAATGAATCCTCAACAAAGCCACTTACTTTGTGGCTTTCAACATGAAAAGATTGATAAAAAGCTGGGAAAAGCTCTTGGTTAAGAAAATCCAAGGGGACAGGTTATCTCAGCTCTGCCACTGGGCTGCTCACCACAGGTCTCACGGCCAGGGATCACCTCATCTAACAATCTACTTGCATTTCCCCATGGGACAGTAACTGGAAGAGGTGGGGTATGGAAGCATCAGCACTCAGTCTGCTCTGTTCCAGCACAAGGCACTTTGAAGAACCTGGCCCGTGGGCAGAGTGAGAACAAGTCAGAGAAGACTAAGGAATCCTAGCCTCAGATTCGCAGGTCGGGGCAGCGCTTCCCAAAAAAAGGCTTCCAACATGGCAACAGGGATTGGTCTGAATCCTAGGTGGGGCCGTTAATCGGCAGAGCCAGTGCTTTCTAGAAGGCATGAATGGGTCTCTGAGTCACAAGAGTTCACAGTTGGGGCTCACATCATTAGTTATACTTAACTTGGCTGTTACCTGTCCCACCTTGAGCCCCTTGTTACCTGTTCATTCCAGGCAGGTTGCCCCAGAAGTAGCGGGCCCTGTGAGCGGCAGACACTTTGATGGCATCGATCATCACTGGGTTACACTGCAGAGAGAGGGACAGCTGCTGGGAGCCCATGTAAGAATTCATGTGGAAGCCAGCCAGAGTGGGGTTTGACCTGGGTAAGGTGACAAGGCACCCCCCCCCCGCTATAGAGGAGGCATGGTTCCTGCCAGCAAAAAGACAGACCAACCCCCATCAAGAATCTGGCTGGAAGACACAGCTAGTGCCCTGATATACTGAACATGGTGAGAGACCAGACTGGACCTGCAGGTTCTGAAGATACACCCTCGGACCTGACAGAAAATTACAGAACGTGCTTTGTACAGGTAGGAAACGCAGCTCAAAATTGAAATCGGCCAAGCTGGGAGTCCTGGAATGCAGTGTTGACAAAATATGGCTTCTGTCACCCATCTGCCGGGTTCACACAGTGTGAGGGAACTAGCCAGTTCCATAACATCTCCAGTAGAGCTTAGGTGGTCAAGTTTTGAAGAAAATGAATGAAATGTATGAAAAGCATTTACTATAGTGCTTGATGATAATGCTTCATACTGAACTGACTGCAGCCCCTAAAGCTGCAGTTCTCAGAACAGGGAGGAGAAAAAACTCCCTAGAGTAAACCAAGATTAGTCAAATCTTCTGAGGCCCCCAAAAGTAGATGAGGATTTCATCATCTGACTTCAGGGCGTTCTGGGTGAGGTTAGAGATCAAATATTTTCCACACACTAAAAAGAATCAACCCACATGACTCCGTTAGTTTTGGATTTAGCCGTGTCCTCCACTAAGAACTCAGAAATCACTCCCAACCACCTCCCAATGCCAACAGGGCCTTCCCTCCCATGTTGTCTTGACAATTAGGACCCTAGGTGCCCTCACCTCCAGGAACCGAGAGATGTCCCTCTTGTCGCCAACCTTCATGGCTACCACATTCTCAAACATCCAGAAGAAGGGCCGGTCATCCCCCTCCTTGGGGCGCGTGTAATTCAGCAGGTGGTAGAACTCAAAGAAGAGCCGGCCTGTACCCTCTAAGCCACACAAGAAGATGGCAGAGCCAGGTTCACACCCCTCAGCCCACCCTCCACACTGACACCAATGGGTTCCCAGTGACTGCCTGCCTACAGCCGCACCCTGCAGGCCTTCTACCTGCACTCCTCTGGAATGACTAAGGACACAAGCATGAGCAGGCCAGTATTACTATCTCTGGGGACAGGACGTACAACGGTAAAGTTGGCCAGAAACAAACAGTCCTCCTCAAGAGCACTCAGGTGACAGAGGATCTCTTAGGGCCACCAGAAAGAAGGGATGCTCACCGTACAGGCCTTTCCTGGCAGGGTTCACATTTGAGAGATCATTGCATGGGCTTCCACCAATCACCAAGTCAAAGGGGCCCCATTCTTCAATCTGTGAGGGAAAACAGTCACTCTTCGTGGGGGTGAGGATGGAGGAATACAGCCTAGGTGCCAGGTAACCTATCAAGAAAACCCACTTCTAAGGGTGCTTGACTGGCTCCGTTGGTGAAGCACACACTTCTTGACCTCAGGGTTATGGGTTTAAGCCCCATATTGGGTGTGAGGCCTACTTTAAAGAAAAATAAAACTCACTTCTAGAATCTCACTTGGTCAGTAAAGTCTCCCAACTCCACTTCTGACCCAAGACAACCCAATGCCCCAGGTTCCTAAGATCTAAATCATTCTGAATAATCTGCCAACTTGTGGCTCTTCCTACAGCTTGATGCAACCCCAGGTTCGCTCTTCTACCATAGCCCTGGGCACGGGGAAGGGGACCACATGGGCGTGAGGATGTGTGGGGCACAGGGCATGGAGGAGGAAGTGGGGGTGGGGCAGAGCCCAGAAGAGGTGCAGGCTGCCCTCACATTTCTCTTCGTGATGTTCCTGACGTCATTCACATATTTGATGTTGCCCTCGTGCTTCACAGTTCCAACAGCGATGGATTCTTCACACACTTCGGAGGCGACGTACTTCTCCACTTTGATGCCCAATTCTTTGAGGACCAAGTACCCTGTAGGGGACCAGGGGACAGAAAGTGCATCAGGGTTGTCCTCCCAGGGCACCCTCCCTCCAGTGATACTAAGCCACCTCCAGAACTCTGACCAGACCCAGCAGGGACGTGGTCATCCTCGAGGGAACCCACATAGATGGCACAGAAACAGAACGCTGGTGACCCTGGGCTCCCTGGATGGCAGAGCTTCATGAAGAAAATATATGGGTAACTGGTAGAGCCCACCAGCACGATCTACCAGAATGGACAGGCACATAGCCAAGGCCCCAGCACCTACCACCTAGCACAGTCAAACACAGACACACGGACACAAATCTTCACCAAAACCACGTTTAGAGAACCTCAAGGCTTGGTGGCATGGCCAGGGCTCAGTTCTACTAGGTGTGATCTGCGCCAACACAAATAGGTCTTTAAGACCCAAACAGAATGGGGAAAACAAAGCACAAGTAGTGACCTAGGGTGTCATTAAAAGCTGTCAGTGATTTCAGAATCTGGACACCGAAATACACACATTAAGTACAAATGATGCAAAGTGCGTAGCAGCTCCTTTCTACTGCTTCGTTCTCTGGGAATACAGAGATGTTTGTAATACATCACAGGATACTTTTTTGAATTAAATGAGTTAGATCAGGCAAGTCCACCAGGGGCGGCATGCATGTTGACTATGCTTATTCTATACCTGAGCAACGGGAGGGGAATGGGAGGGAACCAAGATTGGAGGTATTAGGAGCTGCCTACTTCAGCTCCAACAGATCTAGCCTTATGGAATGGGAAAATTTTCTAAGATATCTGCACATAATAAAAGAATCCAACACAGCTAAGATACACCTGTCTTTAAAGAGGCCGCAAAGAAGGCCCGGTAGGGGAAATGGTAGAGAAGTTTAAGGACAGAAACAAGGAGCCAGTGGTTTTCTCAGAACAAGTGACCAACAGGTCATCCCAGGGGTCTTTCTTGGCACTGATGACAGGACACCTGGAGCAGGTGAGCATCCCTAGATGAACTCCAAACTCACCTGTTGCAATTCCATCAAACAGGGATAAGACTCGAATGGGCCGCCTTCGGGCTGCGGGAATCGCAGGGTATAACTTGGGGGCTTCCTGCCAGGTTAAAGAAGGAGGTCATGGAAGTCACGGTGCAGGGGGTAAAGACTCAGCCTCTGGTGGAGAGGAGGGCTGACCTTCCTCTGAGTCACAAACCCTGGGCTCTACAACTTCCTAGCTGGGATCCCCTGGAGAGCTCTAGCACAGAATGGCCATTCTACCCTAGACGTGAACACAGATGCGACTTCGATACAGATGCACACACACACAAAAACACGTTCCCTACCCCAGAATGACCTGGAGCCTCCCCTCCCTCCATCAAATGCAGGCAGGGGCCCAGGAAAATCCACTCCCACCATGATTTAAGAGTAAGTCACATGTTTCCCTTCCCTCTTCGGTTCCACTAAGGCTAAGGCTTGGTTAGTTCTGTAACCATTTCTTCAGCAGGCCCGTGAAAATCCATATAGTGAGAGGGCACGAAGGAGGGCAGGAGGAACACTGGAGAAGGCTGACAACTGTACAGAGGATGAGGTCTGAGGCTCTCGGATGCTCATCTGTACAATGATCTTTTCCATTAACTCTTGCCAACAGACTTCCAGAGTGCTCCAGAGCCCTGAAGCCCTGGGGGTAGGTGGTGCAGGGGAAGGGGGGTGGGAAGAAGCCTGTGGCTTACGTATTCGAGCCCCGTGTCGCTGGTGAAGAAGGCCTGCAGGCGCACGTTCCAGTCCTTCCGGCGCCGGAGGACGCCATGACAGCGCTGCGGGAGGCACATGTAGCAGCTCCAGGGCTCCTGCAGCTTTGCATCTGCCGCGGTGCCCGTGCCCACCAGCACCTCCAGGCACTCCACACAGAAGCACCTGCGCCCGCCAGCAAGGGAGAAGGATGGTCTCGTCAGCAGGCAGCTCCCCTGTCTCCCCCCACCGGACCCCTGGAGATGGCAACAGGCTGCCTGGAACCTTCTCGGGCCCCCGTTGCTCTTCCCCATGGGCTGGAAGGCACAGTGCCAGGATTTGGGCTGCACCAACCTCTTCCGTGGAGACCGATGCATGCACCCTCAGCCCCCATGGGCTGCTGCGCAGTCAAGTTCCCCGGCCCATCCCCACAATCGGCCCATCTCCAGGGGGCCTTCCCCACCCTAGGGACCTAGCTTTTTAAAGCCCATCCCTCCACCCCAGTTCTACTTCAAGCACACAGGGACCACAGCCCTGTGGACGCCTGGCCTGGGCCCAGCCCACTGCCGGGGCTCCCTCAGGGCTGCAGGCCTGGCCGCCCCCCCCAGCCCCGCTCACGGCCCACGGCCCCCGCTCACCGGCAGCAGCTGGTGTTGCTGCAGAGGAGAAGCTCGCGGCCCTCACAGCACACGGTGCAGTAGGACTGATAGCCATCGTCGTCATACATGTAGAACAGCTCAAGGAAGCGGTCCTGGCAGCCAGACAGAAACGCCAGTGAAATCAGGGACCAGAGAACCCCAGGCCCCCGCCTGTACGCTGGCTGAGGCCCTAGGACGCAGCCACAAAACAGGTCACCGGTGGCTTGGCGCCCTTTCCAGGGCCACCAGCTGGGGTCTGCGTGCCACTCGACAACAACCTCGCTGCTGCAGCAGCCAACCCTCAGAGGGGACAGCTTCACTAGAGCCTTCCCTATAGTGACACGTAGGTGCTTTTCTCTGGGAAAGTACAGGGGAATAGCGGGAAGGGGCAGGAAAGCCCAGGGCGGCGATAGGACTTACCCGGCACGTCTGGCAGAGCCCACCCTCAAAGAGAGGGTGGAAGGACACAGGGTTTCTCCGACCACAGGACAAACAGCTATCTGTAAGACAGGGATGCAGTCTGTAGCAATTACGGGCGCAACACCAGGGCTGAAGCCTTGAGTCTAGCGGCTTTTGAATAGTTACTCCAGGCTAGCAAAACCACAAGGATTCCTCATGCTTTGTTCCTTTCAGCAATGCTTCGAAGTTGCCAACCCCATTCCAAAGATGGGGAGAGGCCAGAACGGGAGCCCCCAAGCAGGAGGTCCCAAAAACAGGCAAAGGCCTGGCCCAGGAGGAAAACCTGAGGCAGGACAGGGAGCAAAGTCCACTCCAGCACAGGGACTTGCTTCAGTGGGCCTGGTATGAAAATCTTTGAGACTCTTTAAAGACAAACTTGGGTTATCTATGGTGATTCCAATTTGCTTTTGTCTTCATTAAGAGTTGCCTACACCAACCGTACACATAGCCATGGATACTATTCAGAACACGGGTACCTTCCTTTTAGGATATCCTGCCTTGCCCTCACACCAGCAGTCGGGACTGATCCACAGCACTTATCATGTGGGCAGGGCCATTAAGATGCCTAAGACCTGGGTGCCAGGGTGGTGTAGTCGGGTTAAGCATCTGACTCTTCGTTTCAGTCACATAGTCATCTCTGGGTTATGAGACTGAGCCATGCATTGGGCTCCACTCTCAGCAGAGTCTGCTTGAGATTCCCTCTCCCCTCCCCCACTCGCTGGCATGCTCTTGTCTAAAATGAATAAATAAATCTTAAAAAAAAAATGCCTGAGACCAAGCATCCCCAGCCAGGCAACACAGATGGGTGCTGAGTCTTGAGGAATGGGAGGATTATGGGTCAAGGTTTCCAGGACTGACAGGGACTGCTCCAAACCTGAGCTTTCCCCAGGGTGTTCTGGGTCAGGAGCTGTGCTGTTTCCCTACGCAGCATTGAGATAACCACTCAATAAATACTTGTTAACTAAAGGACATCAGACTAAGGAAACAAGGGAGAATCCATTTATCCTTACACATTCTGAATTCCGTTAGATACATTCTGGGCAGAGTTTCAAATCCAGTAGCTGGCTAATTCCCAGCCAGGACAAACAGACCAGAGTTGACTTGAGAGTGACCTGGCATCTAGCACCTCAAAGCCTGTTCCAGTTCTTGTCTGGGGAAGGCTCAAGATGCCACAGATAGTGGTTTCAGGTTTGGGGTTCTCTGGGCCAAACTGCCCCAACCCCACCCTCCTTGCTCACTCACAGGGGCAGAATCAGCCTCCATGAAAATCAGGCAACACATTCTACCAAATGTAGCAACAAAGATGAGCCCACTGCAACCCGAGGCCAAGGCACAAGAGCTCTGGGTCAGACTCCAGCAGGGCAGGCGAGCAGGCTGAGGTCGGCCTTGAGCACTGCCCAGAGCACGGAAGGGGAGACAAGGGAAAAGCACATTACCTTCCAGGTTACTCTTGTTGTTGCAAACATCCAAAGCCATTTGTTCTGTTGAGAAAAGAGAAAGTGTGACGCGGAGTCAGGGAGCCTCTTCCTCAATCAGCTCTGACAGTCCCTTGCGGAATGGCCCTTCCTGCCATCCACCCCTGACAGTCCCAAGCTGACCGCGGGTGAGATCGCTCCCCCAGCCTCCTCACTGGCCCATGATCACCTCGACTCTGGTCCTCCTCGCCTCGGTCTTTGCCATTGTTACAGCAGTTGGTCTTTAGGCGCTTGGGCGGGGGGCAGTAGTCCGAGGCGGCCGAGTCGTCAGCTGTGCGTCTTCGAGTCTTGTTCTCTGTGAAAGGTAAGGAGATGGCAGCCAGGGCCAAGATATGGGGAGAACAGGGGCCTGGGACAGAACCATGCAATGCCCGGGTGCCCACCTGCATCTGGGCCATGACATGGGTCCACACTGGGTGTCCTACAGCCCATCTGTGGGTAACTCAGACGAGGACAGAATTCAAAATCCCTCACTATGTATTTATTGGGGTCTAAACAGCAATGGGTGCAAGAGAACTCATCCTCATAGACCCAGCACAAGGAAAATTAGACAAAGCTTGGTCTCGGATGCCCGGCTTAAGAGCTAATAGCCACATGCAGTGACTGCGCACTTGAGATGCTATTTGTGTAACTGAGTGACTGCATTTTACATTTAATCTGGATGCACACTCAAAACCCGCCAGTGGGGCCAATCAACTGTCTCCTTTGGAACTTGGGACATCTATAAAAATATAAATCTAATGTTTCTAATGACAACGTAGCATAAAAATTGAGAGATCATATGACACATCAAAATAATAGATTTTGAAAGCTGCTTAAAAGAAAATGTAAAATTCTCATTTATTTTTATACAGATAGTTAGAAATGGCAAAATGCTGGAAATACTGGGTTTACACTGATTTCACCCTTTTTTTGTACTTTTTCCAGTGTTGCAAAAATTTATATTATGTGGCCATTGTTTATGTTTCTATAAATTCCTGTTATATTTTCATTCAATCTATAAATATCATCTGTAAAGAACATGATTAAAGAAAATTATACAGCCATTAGAAATAATAAGGACCCTTTAGTGACAAAATTACATCTGACAGTGCATACACTATTATAATTGAGAAATGAAGGGAAAGCAAGAATCCAACTAGTGTACAGAAAGAATTGGAAGGATGTGCACACCCAACGTTAACCTGGAGGGCGGTTGTGAGGGTTGGGAGTGAAGGGGTGGGTGAGGGCTCAGGTTGACTTTTTACAAGATTGGATTCTTTCCCAGTGACCCCTGTATATGCAAGAAATGGAAAGAAAGTGCAAAGAAAATAGTGCATAGTCAAAATATGGGAAGGGAATACCGTATTTCCTTGATTCTAAGTTCCCACTGCCTGCACGACGCACCTTCGACTTATTAACCACTTATTTGTGGGGGGAGGGAAACAAAACAAAAACAGAAAATACTATGTTAAATGTATGGATTCTTAAGACAAATCCTGGATTTCAGGCATCTGGGATTTCCTGAGTGACAATGTGAAACAACACTTATCTTAGAGGAATTATGGTATTGGTCAAACCCTTAGGATGGGAGATGCGTCTTTCTGAATGGAGGTGGCTTATGGGGTTGGGGGGGTGCGGGGGGTAACACTTTCCAGGTTTTCTCCAGTGAGCATAGCTTAATTATTTTTTCCTTTAAAAAAAGGGCACCAGTGAAGATTCCATCTTGGCTTTCTATTTACTCAAGTTTTCACAACAGATTCAATTCCAATTACTTGTACTTGACCTTCAGCAGGAAAAGTGACTAGGGAATCTGGAAAAGGCTGGACTGTTTGCTTTTCCAGCTTCCCTGGGGTTTCACAGGGTGACAGAGCTCCAGGCCTGGCAGCTTGCTGGAAGCCAGGGTAGGGTAGGTGGCAGCATGGGGTGACTGCATCTCCCAAGAGGGTCCCCAGCAGCAGTGGATGGTGGGTGCTGCCCAGGGACCCAGTCCCACCTGGTTGTTTGTTGTTTGGTTTGAGGCCCTCAATCCCAGTGGGCTTAAAGCCCCCATGGGCCCACTCTAACATGGGCTTCAGCTGGTCCTCCAACGAGTCTCCAGGACTGCTGGGGAAGGTTTTTCCAGCCCGCACCCTGGCTTTCTGTGGAGAAAAAGAGGCTATGATCAACAGGAGGGGTAGGTGCTAGTGAGGCCACACCCAGGGACTCCCCCTGCTGGGGCCTGCATTCCTTTTCACACTGGTCCCTTTCATAGCCCAGCAGCTGTCCTGAGCAGTGGTATGTGACAGGGAGGAGGGGCCTGTGTAGGGAGACAGGCAGGAGGCCATGGAGGGGGAAATTAAGTCTCTCCATGCAGATACCAAATATGATCTCTCCCCTGTAGGGGCCTGAGTGCTCAACTCCCTCTCAAAGGGCAGAGGATCAGCTCTGTCACTTTTAGATATAGGAGAAGCATCAGCCAGCATGTCTCACTGCATCTGAGAAGCTTCAGATTTCTTGGTTTATTTCCCTAATGAAGTGGGGAAGTATTAAGTCCTATTACAAAGGCACCAGGAAGTTTTACATGTCTAATTAAGCACAAAGCCTGGCTCATAAATGCTGGACCAAGGCCACAAAACATTTTATTTCTAAATCAAAGTAGAAGGAGTGACTGAGCCTGATGGATCCCCCACAGACAAGGAGAGGAGGCAGCTGGCCTCAGGTGCTCTCCAGTCTAGACCTCAAACCACACCACTCAAAGGAAAGAGGCTTTGAGGCTCTGCAAAAACTTATTCACAGATATGAATATTGTCTCCTGCCCCCCGAGGGCTCCTCTTCCCTCTGTCAGTAGGCATAGAAGCTGGGGGTAGTCCTGGGAACTCATGGGCAATCTCAAATCCCTCCTTTTCCTTCCTAGTCAATGGGCTACTGTCATGTTTGCATACACTTCCTGCCTGGTGGCTCTGCCCCTCCATGCTATTGGGCACCATGTGGCCTGAGCTGGCCTCCTAGAAGTCTCTTGCTTTAGCTCTGTTTGAGGCCGGGCCCTCACCACCCACTACCATGTTACCTCCAACGCATGGTACATGGCCTTCCTGTAAGAGACCAGCTTATTGAAGGTCGCCAGGTTAAAGTGCTGGCTGAACAGCCCCAGGGCCACTAGCTTATCTGCAGACACCTGGAAGAGAAAGCCATCATCAACATCCATTTACAGCTGGTGTCTGACGTGTCCTGTGTCTCTCCCAAGCTTATTCCTGGGGATCAAGCTACAGACTAAAAAGAAGGGAAGAGAAAAGTAGAAAACAAACAGGAGCACAGCCTCTGACACACCCTATCAACAGAAGCATGGTGAACACAACACTCCAAATGGGAGAAAGTAGGATGCTCCAAATGGATACAGCCAGATGCACCCTGTAATTGTGTAAATTCTAAATACAACGGACCCACATTGTCCTTGGTGTGGGGCCCCATCTCTGTCTTGACGTTCACAGTGCATGCTCCAACATTGGTGCTTTTGCACATGTTCTTCCCTCATTCACGAGCGTGACAAACAGCTGTGATATAGCCTTTTATTAACAGAATTAATTTAATGTACAGGTTTAGAGAACAGTGCTTGGCACAGAGTAAGTGTGATTTGTTGCTATGTGCCTTACATTGGGGCTAAATAACCTATAGTCCACAAGTCTCACACCTAAGTCCCCTGGCCGTGCACGAACAAATCAGGCTGCCGGTGGGATGAGATGAAACTGGTGTTCGGGGATTCTGATCAGCCCAGAGAACCATGGGACGTCTCCTTCCCTACACGGTGCATGCTCATTCTCATGCCAACCTCCGTTTTACACCTCTCATCTTGACCTCCCACGAGGGGCTGTTGCCACCATTTGTACGAAACTGGGGATCAGTGTGACTGTACACAGAAATGCAGGTGCTGATCCCAGCACTAACTGCTCTCGTGCTGTGTGTAGCCCAAGCACAAGGATCTGTGTTGCATTCCCTTACTACTATGCTAACAGCCCCACACTTCATCTTATTAGCATCAGACCCAGTCTTGCAAAGCTCATTATAGGTCTCATTGGGCCAAAGTAATGACAAACAATCCATGTTTCTTCATTTCACAGAACTCATGGCCCGTATCCCTGCAGTTAGATGCTTCAGGGAGAGCAAAGGCCCACATTTGGCACCACATTTGTCATCCTGCTCCCTCTGCTGGCCAAAGAGAGAGTTTCTACATGCATTCTACCTACCAGGGAAGAATCCAGGTCCTATTTATCTTGCCCTCTGGGAAGTTCAGTGTGTTTACAGCAAATCCCAAATCATGGAGGGAAAAAAAGAAACCTCAATTTGAGGCCAAATCCCACAGATGTACTGAATCGTCCTCCATTCCCACATCTGCCTCCATCCCAACCCAGCTTGCTCTTGTTCCTCATCGAACCTCTGGATGTAAAGGTTGGACTAACATTTCGAAAAGAGACCATCACAGGCAAAGAACTGCCTGCACTGTTCTCATCACAACCCGAGAAGATCTCAGAATGTGACTTTGACAGGGTTTAAGAATCAGAACTGCAGGATTCATGCCCAACAAACAGAGCTCTTACCCCAGACTCTCACCAAGAAGGAACTAAAAATGGTTAACATTAAAAAAAAAAAAAAAACCATAAAGATCGGGACACCTGGGTGCTGTTAAGCATCTGACTTCCTAATTTCAGCTCAGGTCATGATCGCAGGGTCATGAGATCAAGCCCTGTGTGCCGCTCTGCACTCAGCTTCTGTTTCCCCCCTACCCTCCGTCTCAAATAAATAAATCTTTAAAAATAAGGTTAACACCAATAACCAACAAACCCTGAAATCAGCACTCTGCGGTGGTCCGAGGCCCACCTCTCCTCCCATGCCCCTCCCCACACCTCTCAGAGGCAGAGACCACCCTTCCCGTCTCTTCCTGGCTTCTCCAGGAAAAATCTTTGAGGGTGTCTGCCCAGGAATCCATCCTGGTGACTCTACCCCGAGAAATAAAAACCAACAGAGCACAAGCGCCCACAAATGGCTTCAGAGGACTTTCCAGCTCTTTGTCTCCTATAAGACTAGACAGATTGAGCTCTGGGCCTGTGAGACCCTATATATCTGTTTAAGCCAGTTAACAAATTTTTGTCCTTCCTAGGCACAAGGAGTCAAAGAGCCTCACCCATCTGGAGAAAGCAGTCACAGGCCACTCATATTAAAAAGTCAAATATAAAAGGAAGTGAAGAAAACACAGGAAATGGGTCTGTGGCCCATGAGAACCTGCCTAGCCCTGGACTCACCTCAGAGAACTTGCCGTCACCAAACCACTGGACCCACCGCATGCCGGACATGGCCTGGCGCTTGGAGGTGGCCTTCCATGACACCACCATGGCAGGCCACCAGGAGAAGCCCTTGATCTTTCCCCACACAAGGTCTCCTATCCCAAACTCCTTCCCATCCTGGAAAAAAAGAAACACATGAAGGAATCCCAATGAGACAGATCACCTAGGCCAAGGAAAAATCCTGCCCACCCCACTAACCCCAAGGGCCATTGCCCCAGGGTACAACTTAGGGCATTACTTTAAAAAAATAAGAAATGTGAGTAAGAACCCCTTGAATATAAGGGGTCAGTTTGGTTTTTTGATAGGAATATGGGATTTATTAGATTTGTAAAATTTCACCTGTAACCTTTAACCTCTATCTGGGAATGAAAGATGTCAACTGAAAACTCACAGGAAATAAGATCAGAGTTACATCATGACAATCCCCTGGGTTTTCCCACCATGGGCCTCAAAAAGCTTACCATAAAATATAAATGCCCATGCAAAAACAAGTTATTCAAATAGATGTACAGTCTGATATACATAGAAAAAAAGATTTCTATGCAACAGAATTAGACACACATACGTATGTACACAGCAGTGCTGGAGTGAAGCAAGCCCGACTGGCTAGTCGTGAATGACACACAAGATGGATCACATAATACAGTGGATTAAAGATGTGAGCGTGAGGCAACTCCAGCTCCTAACAAATAAAGTTAACTAGTCTACAACTGTACATAAAATATGATGAACAGAATCACGCCTCGTATTACATATACAAACGAGGTACATATATTTGGAGGTACAAACACTTGACATTTGTAAATTCATTAATCAGGTGTTTGAATTATGTCTGGCAGAGAAGCAGGATAAAGGAGGGACACGTTGCATATGGAAAATCTATATGCTAAAGAAATTCAAATATTACAACAGAAGTGGCCCCCACAAAAAGGTAGGAATAGCCCCCGCTGGGTAAGCGTCTGTTCTTCCCTATTATCTAGGCTGTTCTTAGGGTACCTGATACTCGGCGCTGTCGGCATCTCTACCCTCTGCGTCCACCTGTGGGGACTCGAGGCCGTCCTGCTGGCTGTCCTGGGCCAAGCGGGTGTAGGGGGTACTGCTGCTCTGGGGCACCACATCGTCATCCGTGAGGTCAATGGTGAGGTAGGGGCTGGCTGGGGACGGCCACGGCGTGCCTGCCAAGGATACTGTCCGCCGCCTGAGGGACTGTGGACAGAAGGACATGGAACTGGGGCGACAGCAAACCAGGTAGGTGACCAGAGACCAGTGGAACCCCCAGTTGCTTCCCAAGCAAGCAGAAACAGTGAAGACGTTAAGTTGAAGAGAACAGAGACCACCAAGGACGGTTTTCCGGGAACCAGTATCCCTCAAGTGGTGGAATAAAAAGCAACTTCCAACAGAACAAGAGACAGAATCGAGGACAAAGGCAGAATAATGAAGGAGGTCGAGAGGCTCTGAGAGCCAAGCTCAGAGAGGGCCGCTGGTTTCCTTAAATGCTTACTGTGTGCCAGCCTTGCAACAGGAGTGGAGAAAAACACTGGGGTTGCCTCAAGACAGTCAAAGAAGATACCAGGGAGACAAAACAGTTCTAGAGTCAGTAGTACTTGAACTCATTCTGAGGAGGAGCAAGAAACCAGTCAGCAGGGAATTCACACATTCCCACCCGAGTTCCATCCAGGATCAGGCCAGGAGAAAAGTCGTCGGGCTTAAAAGAAGCTTACCCGGCAACCAGGAGAGAGAGGTAAGGGAAACCCCTGAAAAGGTGCTAAGAGTGAAGACCGGATGGAGGTTGCACACCAGCCACTTCGGGTGGCACGGTGAGAGAGGCCGATCTTCCACTTAAAGAGACTGGGGGTATCCGGGGAACCAACCCTGGTAGCTGAGAACTCCACGGGGGACTCATCCACGGGATTGCGGCCCTGCCGGCCTCGGGTGGAACGCGGGGAGGACCTGGGTCTCTCCCGGCTGGAGGCACTGGTGTTATTTCGGGTTCGGACCTGGAAGCAAGAGAGGATAAGCACGAGGCCTTGGTGACTACAGGCATGGCGTTCCAGACAGGGGGCCAAGAGAACTGGTCTTGAGAGGTCGCCTCACATCAGTGAAAGTGAACAAGGTGGTTAAGTCAGGGAAGAACTCTGGATGGGTCACGTGGACCGCCCCCCCGCTGCCCCGAAACTCCCCAGTTAGTGGGAGAAGGGGGTAGGGTGTCAGCAGGCCTGCCAAGAGTCCATGGCAGATCCCACGCTGCCTGGCCAAGGCGGCTGGCACCTGCAGATTGAATGGAAAACTAAAATCCAAACCAAACATTTACCACCCCCCCACCACAGCAATGGAATAATTGTTGCCTTCTTTAGGAAGGCACTCGATCATCAAGACGGATGAGAAGCCCTTAGGCTCCTTTCACAAAATGGCTTGAATTTGGGTGTTGCACATCTGTATTCAAATCCTACACACAAGAATGACTGTTTATGGAGCACCTGGATGGTCTAGTCGGTTGAGCAGCCAACTGGATTTTTCGGCTCAGGTCATGATCTCAGGGTCCTGGGATCAAGCCCCGTATCGGGCTTTCCACTCAACAGGGAGTCTGCTTCAGGATTCTCTCTCCCTCTGCCCCTCCCCGTTTGCTCGTTCTCTAAAACAAATCAATCAATCTTAAAAAAAAATTAAAAAGATTTTAAAAGGAATTACTATTTAACCTTGGGTAAGTTACTGGAAATCTTCTCTCATCTGTAAGAAGGGCATGATATACATCATATGCTGGGTGAGATTATAAGCTAGCCCCGCAATGGCCATCAAGTGTTCACCTGCTCTCTAACAGGCTGGGTGACCACTAGCGAAGACTGCCTTCCTATTTCTAGACCTCACCCTGTACGTCACAGAAGTGACTCCCAAAGGTAACTGACAGTTGAGCCATCCACCTACAAACTATCCACTCTTGGGCACTTAAAAGCCAGGAATGTCCAAGGAGCTGAAAACCTGCCACATGAAAGCAAGCCTTCACAACGATAGTTCACGAACCTTGCTGTCATTTTCCAATTTCAAAACATTTGTTCACCTCGCTCTCCAAAGCTCCAAGGAGAAAGGAAGATCCAAGACAGGTTTTTTTCATTCAGGCCTACGTGTGGTTGAAAGGGCCCTGGCTGAGGGGCGGGGGACTTACAGCTGGGCTTTCAGACCGAGTCCTGGTTTCACGGAAGAGTTTGGGCATCACTGGGGTGTCAGAGCCGTCTCCATCTTCCCCCTCACCATCTCCATCACCCGTCAGATCCTTTATAAATGAAGCATTAGAAATGGTAAAGGTCATTAAAAGGTCACATAATCAAAATGGTTTAGGAATCCAGATTCAATCATTTTGGCCCAAGTGACCTCAAAATATTTTCAACTACCACATTTTGCTCAACATACTTTACACAATGGCTTACAATGGGGATCACAAATTCAAGACGTGATTGAAAAATACAATCCCAGTGAAATCAAGAAGCCCAAGATAGGGTATGAATTCAATATGTGTCGTCAAGACTCCCGTATGTACACCACAGGGAGACTCATTTGGCTATGCCCAGCAGGGAGAGCTGGTCATATTGCACAACTGAGTGTCTGGGAGAAATCAAAGGTTCAAGAAAGATGCTTCTTGATACCATTACCAGGAAGAAACAGCACCAATTCTGTGTCAAGTCATGTAGAACCCCTAGTACATGTCCCATGCCCCAGAGCAAAACGCAAAGAACTGGGCACATAAAGTGGAGCGCTAGTGAGCAGCCCCAAGCCCAGCTGTTGTGTTAAGAACTGGATTTTTCATTTGCCAATCTTGTGGCCTTGAGTGAGTCCATTCCTCTCTTTAAAACTCTAACAGTAATTCCCTTGTAGCACAACAGGGTGATAATGAGAATGAATGATGCATGCCTCGCCCAAGGCCAGGCTCAGAGGAAATGCTCAGTCAGGAGGTTCCATTCCCATTGCTGGTAATGGTCCATCAGAACTCAAAACGGCTGTCCAGAGCACACGGTCCCAAATATCCACACGGCTCTTACTCTAGCCATCTGGGTGCCCACTGGTTGCTCTCCAGCAGAACAGAAGCTGTGCAAATGTGAACTTTCATTTGTCCATAACTTTGTGCCCCGTGCCGGACACTGGTTCTCCAAAAGAGTAACCCAAGTGAAAAAAAACTACTATAATTAATAAGAACACAGAAGGCAGAAATGAGGTCAGGAATAAAAAAATTATGAAAAACTGTAACTTGGAAAAAAACTTATCATGTAGAAACCTTGCAGCAAGTATTCAAAGATCTTGCAATGATTGTTTAAAATCCCCTGAAACAAGCCAGGCAAGTTCTTTCCATCTTGGAAAAAAATTTCCTTGAGGCCACATAACCCTGATTATCAAAACCGGACACAGATATATTCCGATAAAATCATACATCCATTTTATTCATGAACAGATGCTGAAGTAAATCAAATTCAAAACATACCACAACCAAATTGGGCTCACTCCAGGAATAAAAAGGACAGTCTACTACATTAGAAATTTATCAATGTGGGCGCCTGGGTGGCTCAGATGGTTAAGCATCTGCCTTCGGCTCAGGTCATGGTCCCAGGGTCCTGGGATCGAGTTCCGCATCGGGCTCCCTGCAGCAGGGAGCCTGCTTCTCCCTCTGCCTCTCTCTGTCTCTTATGAATAAATTAAAAAAACTTAAAAAAAAAAGAAACCTATCAATGTAATTGATCATCCACTGAGAAAAAGACAATTTCAAAAAATATGCTAAATAAGCATTTAGTGGGGCGCCTGGGTGGCTCAGTCGTTAAGCGTCTGCCTTCAGCTCAGGTCATGATCCCAGGATCCTGGGATCAAGCCCCTCATCAGGCTCCCTGCTCCGCAGGAAGCCTGCTTCTCCCTCTCCCACTCCCCCTGCTTGTGTTCCCTCTCTTTGCTATGTCTCTCTCTATCAAATAAATAAAATCTTTAAAATAAATAGGCATTCAGTAAAAAACTTTGTAATTTAGTAAAATAAATGTTTATGATTTTAAGACTTGGCACATAAACAAAAAATGCCATCATTCATGAGGTTGTTTGAAGCCCTCTCGGTGCTTAGCAGTGTTGAAATTCAGCATTCAACAAGTATTTATTGGGTACCAGTTTAGAGGAGGCCTCAAATTCCCCATTTAATGAAAGCTCAAAGGAATTCCCCTGGAACCCTGAAAAAAGGACAGTAGAGCACATACCTGAGTATAACTTAGCAGACTGGAGACCTCCCTCTTGGACAGCCGTGAGCTTGATCTACGGACTGGAATAAAGAACCAGAGTCTGTTTGGAGGAAGGGGCAGCCCTCCGGGCTGGGGAGCAGCCGTGTCGTCCTTTGCTGACCTGCTGTCCCTGGCATCTCCTCTCTCTAAACCCACTGGCATCCTCAGGGTTTAACTCCTAGCCCCTCAGGATCTGTGGTCCTGTCAATGTATTCATAAGGCAACAGGGCAGAGCTGAGCACATAACAGAATCAAAAACAATACTGAAGATATTCACGAGGGAAGGCATCAAATTCCTTTCAGAATTGTGGCCACCAAACTACAACTAATGAACAATCCAGTGCCTGCCGGATCAGCCACATTTCAAGTGCTCACATGTGGTTAGTGGCTATTATAGTGAACAATGCAGAAAACAGAACACTTTCATCCTCACGGAAAGTTCTATTCGACAGCACAGCTCGAGGGGATTTCAACAGCAGGGTGGGACAATACAGGGTTTTCCAAATCAGCTGGGTCAGAAAATCTCAGTGGGGAGGACCACAGGTGATATGACCCAGAACTGTGCAGGAGAGGGGTGGGGAAGGGAAGGATGGGAAAGGAAGCAGGCCTCAGACCCTCCCCACTTGAGTGTCTTCTTCCCACATAATCACAATCCCAGCTACAAGGGGAGAGGGGTCCCACTGCAAAAGGGCCAAAGACCCCAGCCTATGCTGCAACCACCCCCCATCATGGCTGGAAAAGGACAGGTGTCATCACCTTGGGGTTAACTCCTCAGAATCCCAGCTGAGGTGGGGGCAGTAGGGGGAGCAAGGGCCCGTGGGCAGGGATGAGAAATGGGCTGGGCTCTGCCTACGTCCACCTCCCTTCCCCGAGAGGGATGGCAGAGCCTGTCAGAGACCAGACCCTCTCCCCACAACCTGCCTTGAGCCTGCTCCGAGGCTCATGTCCCAGCTGCTGCTGTCTGCAGTGCCTGTCCCACCCCTCCTCCCCACTGGCCCGGCCACCTCTGATCTCCGGGGTGCTGATAGCCTCCAGGATAGGGGGTGAGGGCGCATCCTTGGAGTCAGAAGACTGGTCGCTGCAGCCCCCATTAGTGATGATGGAGTCTTCCCTCCCGCTGGCGTCCTCCTCTCTGTTGAGCTGTCTGGTGTCTCCCTTCATTGTTTCCTGCAGGAGGGCCAGAATGGGTAGGGTAGCAGGGAAGCAAGGGCACAAGGGGGCAGCACACCCCAAACCTCCCGCCAATGGCTCTATGTCCTCAGGCCAACAGAGGCCCCTTGACATTCTCCGGGTGATACTCCTGCCCAAGGACCCCACCCAGGCTGCCCCCCATAGCCTGCCCCCCTCACCAAACTCGGAGGCTCAGGACTTGGTTCCATGTGGCCAGGCGGCCCGAAGGCTCAGATACCAGCACCCAGGACAGAGGAGGGGGCTGGGCTGTGGTCTGAGGCTTAGGCTGTTCTGTGCAATTAGCCGGCCACTTCAAACAATGCCATTTAGGACCCGCCTGCCCCGGCCTGCCTGCCGCCAGCCTTGGTCCCCTCTGCCCCTGGCCCCCTCTCCCTGCCCAGCCTCCGCAGGGCCTCAGGAAGCCAGTGCATTATTTTCCCTCCTGACCCCTTTGTTTGCTCTCTCCCTTCCCCTCAATCTCCAGGTCCTCTTCCCACCCGCCCCCTCCTCCCCCACAGAACAGCTTCTCTCCTCTCCATGGCAGCACAAGCCCCGCCCCACCCCAACCTCAGGGGCCCATTGGTCTGCTGGCCTGTCGCTCACTCCCCTCCTCCCTCACCAGCTGGGGCTCAGAGTCCCAAGTTCCCAAGAAGGGAAAGGATGGAGGAGCACAGGCAAAGGACTGGGGCAGTTAACAAGGGGCATGCTCCCCATCTGCTCCAGCCTTGCCCCACCTCTGGGCCTTTGTCTCTCCACTGCTGCCCCTCCTGGTAACTGCATCATCACCAGGCTATTCAGCTAAGACCACCAGCTCAGGCAAGGTCTTCACTGATGGGTTCAAGGGCTCTGTGACCTCGACCTGGCCTGCAACGTATGTTAGCTGCTAGAACCTGCACCTTTCTCTCCTTTATTCCTCCTAATAATGTGATGGACCCATTTTATAGAACAGGAAAACTGACACACAGACTGGGTTAGTCTCCAAGGTCAAAAATCACATCGAGGAGGTGAGGCCAAGGTAAAAATGGAGCCTAGGTACAGGGTGAGGCCCCCAGACTCCCATCCCTTGGTTTTCCCCAAACTGCTCCAGAGCTATTTGGCACCACACCCTATTGTTCTGGACCCTTTCTTGGAAAAACCTTTCCCAGCCAAGGGCCGCTTATCAGCACTGAGCACTCCCAGCCCTACGCCCCATCTTGGGGACTCACCACATGGTACCAGATGACCCATACTAGCCTCCCAGGGTACCTTCTAGAAGCATCAGTCAAGGCTATAGAGTTGCAGGCTGCCGGGGATGTGGCACCACGTCCACCAGGAGGCGATGTGGGGCTGTCTGAATTGCACTGCAGCGCCCCCAGGTGGATATGGGACATGACCTGTCCCTCCCCCAGGCCTGGGTGTTGGCTGCTAGACCTCTGCTACATTTCCCATAAGACCCAGGGACCAGCGACTCTGGAATCACCTGGGAGATGGCTAAGAGCTACAAAATCTCAGGCATGGCCCTAGACCTACTAAGTCAAGACCAACATTTTCAAAAGATCCCTGGGTGATTATATGCATGTTAAAACAGCACTGTTCTAGTTCTAAATGTATACTTATCCACAGCATATGTGGCATTTACCCCACGTGGCCCAGGATGTGCAGGCTCACATTTCCTGGTCTGTTTTCTCTCAATACATGTTAAGGAAGCTCACCAGCCCCAGGGGAAAAGAGGAATACTGGCCCTAGCCCCATCAGCTGCTTCTCAGCCTCTTTCACTGCCAAGCCCTGACCCGGAAGAAAAGGCTGGCTGACCTATGGCCAGATCCCGTGAGGCCAAGCAGCCAAAATCCCAGGGAAAACTGCTGGAGTGTGGTTCAAAGTAATAATTAATTCCCAGTGTCTTGCCCCAGGGCCAAACCAGTGAACTAAGTAACCTGGGTGGCCTAACACAGGGTGGGAGACTGGGTCACGGGTGCCAGAGACCAAGGGTCCACAGAAGCTTAGGGGAGGAACGGGCAGCCAGGGCTTCTACGCAGGAGCTGGTAGCAAGCAGGTCAGAGGCTGAAACTGAGGGCCATTACTTCCCACTTGTCCAGGGCCCAGGATTCCCTCAGACAGCCCTTAACTGTGTCAGTCAGGAGCCTCCCTCCTAAACAGGCCCAGGTGGAGCCAGCAGCCCAGAGTGGACAATGATTAACTACCTCAGGCCTTCCCCTAGGGCCTCAGCAGTGCCAACCTGACCGCCAGGCCACCAGACAGAACGGGGGCAGTGCACCTTCCCAAAGTCAGATGTGGACATTCAGGAAAAAAATCTACCTCTAGGAACTAGACCCATGGGCACTGGGGGAAGGTTCAGGCAAGGAAACCAACCAACTCTAAGTGTCCTTGGCGACATGGGCAGCAAAAATACCCCCTTTCGATTGCATAATTCGATCATGTGATTTCATACAAAACTCCTTCTCTGTAGTCTTCATCGTCCTAGGTTTGCATGGACAGTAACTTCCCTTGCCTCCTTACTGCCACAACACACATCAGCATCTAGAACCCATGCCCACTGAAGGATACCCAGTGCAGTTCCTCTCCCTACCCTGACTATATCCTAAGGCCCGCCTCCAGGCATGTGCTGCTGCCGCCCCCCTCCACCTGGAAGCCCTCCCCATACCTACCACATACCTGCTGGTTACTCAGACTTCAAATCCACATGGGTAAAGTCAGGAAGCCTTCTCTCAATACACTTCTGCTCCAAAAAGCATCATCTGGCCCTCCTCACATAGGTAAACAAATCCTCTCGCCTAATGATACAGTAATTATTTCAGTGTTTACTACTATATATGCAACACTTCTGTGCTTTACCTGTATTAATTCATTTAATCTTTAAATGTGGTACAAGGGCGCCTGGGTGGCTCAGTCATTAAGCATCTGCCTTCCGCTCAGGTCATGATCCCAGGGTCCTGGGATCGAGCCCCGCATCAGGCTCCCTTGTTCAGCGGGAGGCCTGCTTCTCCCTCTCCCACTCCCCCTGCTTGTGTTCCTTCTCTCGCTTTGTCTGTCAAATAAATAAAATCTTTAAAAAAAAAATAAATGTGGTACGTATGATCCCTGTTTTACAGACACACAAACTGAGGCAGATAAAGCAACATAATACACACTGGACCAATGTGGCTTGTTCAAATGTTCAAATCAAGTCCCGAAAACGTTACGAACACACAAACTTAAACTACATGCTCTTGGCAACAGGAAGAAATTAGCACCAGAAATCGGTGTGTGATGGTAGATAGAAATCACCCTCACCTCTTCCCACCACTTCCTGGATAATATGGCCCCCAAGACAAGCCAACTGCTTTATCTAGTGTATCATTCCAGCACGAGAGGATCAACAGGCTGGGTTACCTCCCTGAAAGAGGTGGCACCTTCCTGAGGGATTTTTCCGTGCTGGCTTAAGAACTGTGCCTTGCCACCCCACTGTTCTAACAGTTCCTGGGTCCCTACCCTAAGCTAAAGACAGTACACAAACCACCCTTAACCCCCACCCGATCCTGAGGCAGGTCCTGTTATCAACCTGCTTTCCACAGTCTCAGATGAATTAATTAAGTCACCCAACAAGGTGGCAGCGCCAAGACTCATGCCTAGGCAGTCCAGGGCACGTGCCTTAACTGCTGTGCCTAAGACAAGGCAGTCGTGAATTCTAGTTTTAAGAACAATACATCACCCATCCCAGAGGCTATAGCAACTTTGTGGCAGAGCGACATGATCTGCCAGCTGAGTGTTTACCTTCACAAGAGGTGATGGTTTAACCTCCTGATGCGGGGTGAACTCTGACCCTTTCCCAGAGGCTGGGGTCCGGCATGTGATTTAGGGCGGGGCAGCAATGTGGGGTGGGCTCACCCGCAAGGTTCTCCCTGCAAGGCGCTGCCTCATTAGTGCAGGGTGCCTGTGTCCCAACTGAACCAGGTCAGACGTGTCCAAATGCAATGTGGCAGACAGAAGGATGGGTGGCACCCCCAATTAGACTCAGGGAGGAGGCCCAGGGACCTGCCCCCCCCAACCCAGCTGTAAAGCTGAGAAGTGATGTCATTCATTTCCTCCAGGCTGGTACCAGCAGCAGACCTATTTCACAGCACCCTGTAAATGGTAATTGCATTAATTAAATGCACAATACAGGAAGGGGGGATGGTGGGCATGACAGGGAAGTGGGTGGAAGGGGGGGACCACATGGGCATCCCTGCCCCACCCTGAATCCCCCAGGGCTTAGAGATTTGGTGCAGTAAAAAAGGAGCTTGAAAGATATTCCCACCTACCCTATATAAAAAAGTCCTTCTCCACAGCTTGTGGGAGGGAAATCTAGACTACTGAAACCTCCCCACCTTGACTGCTCAAGTCTTTCCCAGCTGTACCCATTGTCCAAGATTCTAAAATAGTTGAGATGGAACAATTACTGTGTATCTCATCCAAAGAGAGAGCTTACTCTTAGGATTCCGCCTTTTGCAGATGAGTAAAGTAAAGCTCAAGGAAGCAGATGGGCAGATTCCCTGCCCAGGCTTGCACAGCTACTAAGGGATGGAAATTTAGGCCTAACCCACTAGCCAGACCTTAAAGACATTTTAAAACTAATATGCTACGTACAGTTATAAAAGTGAAGCCTGGGGACACCTCCCCCAGGTGAGCAGAGAGAAAGGAGGGTACCCAGGCAGTGGAAACAGTTAAGTACAAAGGTAAGGGGGCTGGAAAGAGGCTGCCCCCCTGGCTGGTGGCAGGGAACAGGGTCCCAGAGTTCAGGGCCTTTGTCTGATCTTTAGGAATCTTTGCTGAATTCCAAAAATAGCCAGATTCACAGGCAAGCTGGAATGAAAAAGCCCTCAAGTCTTTCTAGAACCCCAGTCTTAGCACTTGTGAAATGAAATGACCCCACCGTTAATTCCCTGGGTGGTTTGCGCTAGGGATCCCAAAGCGGAGGACACAACCCTGAGAAGCGGGAGCGTCCACATTTTCATGTGCCATCCTGCCAGACTTCCCAGCTC